AATTGTCTCTGCGAGTGACGTCAGTAAAGGACAACATAGTGATCAGAAACTGGCGTGCACCAACCACAGTTGCAGTGGCATTGGAAAAAGCTCTCGCCATCCCTCATAATTTTTGCAAGGGCTCTATCAAGTTTTTGCTGTAACCTCTTACATCACACTCAATTTATGAGGTTAGTCCATTCCCAAGTAAAGATGGGACCCTGAAGTCTCTAAATCAGAAAAGTCCCAGAATCAAATAGAGCCCCTATAACCCATTTAACAAAAACTTGGCTAGGTAGGACCCACCATAAATTTATTTATCACAGTCAGAAGTATAAATATACATTGAAATCACCCTACAGCCATGGTAATAGAGCAAGCGATCTTAGACAAAGAGCGGATTAAATCACTCAAGAAGCTCCTGCTGTACCCTATTGGATTCCGAGTCACTAATAGCAGTGTAACCTCCAAACAGACATTCATGTATTAATTATTTTTTTGCAATCAACAAAATTATTTGCAATAGGACAAATAAAGATAAGTTAACCATGAGACTTCCAGTACATTGCAAAAGTCCCCTCATACCAACTCTGATTCAACAGCCTAAAATAATAGGAAAAAAGAAATAAATTATTTAATCTTTCCTCCAACCTACTAGCAATTGCCATACGAGTTTTTCAAATAAGTTATATATATATAACATCACGACGTTGTAAATATTAATACTACTATAAGCATCATCAACTGCTCGAGGGTTGCCAATTCCTCGGCAGTTCCGAGTAAGCAAGCTTTCATTGATTTCTGGCTATCACCGGGCCACGGGATACAGCCAGTGTCTATGGAACTGAGAATGACCTCCCAGCTGTGTGGCCAGCAACCATAAATTAAATCCTTTTTGTAAAGAAATGATGGATGGCATGTTATCAAAGTCTCATTCTCTTGGAGCCTCATTTTTATTTCAATCATTAATTGAGAGGCACCACCACTAATCTCTCCTCCATAATCTCCAATGTTTATTTTACCTCCATGGACTCCGTTTTGCCATTCAAAGCCCAAATTATCTCCCTCACTCCTCAAAAAAAGTTGAATTAAAGCACGAAATAGTGAATTCCTAAAGTTGTGTCATTAGCTGATCTTGGAATTATGAGCTAGAATACATTAGCTATTCCCTCATTTCACGCGTAAATCCGGTCAACATTGTCGGTATTCCCTATTATCAATCACAACAACCATTGACTTTGAATGCTCGCCGGTTCACGGCGAGGTACCATTGCGCCCGAAGTACGCTCATCCCATTAATCAAATTTATAGCTCCCTCCCGGTTTCTTATGTAAACGGAGTTTTTCACAAAAAGGATCATATGACCCAAGATTCCACAAAGGAAGCAAAAGACAAACACAAACGTTCATATAGAGAACATGGCATAAAGAATGCTTCAATTACCTGAACCATCAACAAAAGCTTTTTATCCTCCTCCTTAAAGGTTCGCCTAACATCAAATGGTGACTCTTGAATACGCATGGAAGAATCTTCACAAAATTCAGCGAACTCCAGTATTAGATATTAATAGTATCATTTCATATAAACTTTGCATGAAAATTCCGACAAGATTTGGCCACTCCTCAACGCATAATATCCAGGTATTCAACTCCCTTTAATAATCACCCAGCATCAGATTGAGATTAAGCGGAATACGCAACTGGAAATCTTCCCCTTTTTGAATTATTGCTATCCACAAACTAAACAGATGTTTATTAAGAAGCCAAGGTGCACCAATACCAGTAACCCAGATCACAAGTCACCTGATTGTTAAAATCTGAAGAAGGAAACCTTACTTGCCCAATATCTATTAGTAGTGGACTTCCTATTCCCAATAGGAGGTGGCCACAAATCTAGCAAGGACTGATTTCATGGACTAGAGAAGATTGATATTGCTATATGTGATGAACATTCACCAAACAAAGCAGTAACAAAAGTTTGAGTCCGGTACGCTGGTAAATAAATGTCAAAAGGACAAACTTATCTCTTCCTCTCTTACAACGAGAACGACCAATTTTTCAGAACTCAAGAAGCCATGAATGGCAACAAACTAGAAAAAACGAAAAAACTTAGAGACTCCACGCTAACAGAGCATAACAAAAACTTATTTACACACACTTAATTGGATACGTGAAAAAAATATTTTCTTCAAAAATTCATTTTCCACCATTACTCTTTTTTTTTTCTTTTACAAATGAATTCATTAGAAATACATATACTCATTTTCAAACAAAAAATTCTATTTTCTTATCTAATCTTACTTTTCAACCGATATACTATTATATAGTTCGGCTTCTTGTTGAGCCGCAAACTCTAACAAATTTACTTTGAATTCATTTCGAGCAAAATATACTACAGACATTTGCTCTTTCACACAAACAAAAAAAAAAAAAAAAAAAAAAAAAAACGTTTTTGGCTTTTACAACGTCTGGATATTTACATGTCGACTACACGAATCACAACATTCCACTCCTTATACTGCTAAACTGAAAGATAATAAGATTAATCTAGAACACCAAATCGGCGCTTGTATGTTGTTGACGCATGTAGTTGGCACCCCAAAGAGACTGAGCTGTCACAACTTTGAATTCCGTCTTTCTTATTCTAACTTTTTCCATCTACACTTGCAAGAAGTTTTAAGCAAAAGCTCTTAACCTGACCTGCCAATATCTTTCCCTTGTTAACATTCTGTAAGGCGGCGTTTTGTACATCTATTTAGATAATGAATATCTACAGTTTTAGATTACGTCGATCTAAGTAAACCTATACAATTCTTAGTTTGGAATTCATTCTTTCATAGAGATACGAGGAAATTAATTTAATTCTTTCACGTGCTGAAACTACCGGTAATGGCTTGTGTTTCCGCAATAAGCTACCTTTTAACATTTTTGCACAACTATCTACTTTTTTATGATTTTCAGTAATATACGCGTCTTGAACTAATTTTTAGAGCATTAACTATAGTGTTTTTTATAGAAAGTTACTATCGTAGATCGTTTTCACGCTTTTACGCGTTCTTATGAAAAGTTTTTTAACAGTTAACCAGCTAAATAGCTTCTCAAATATAAAAAACCACAAATCTCCAAATACTCTTGTATATACAGCTTGTAGAGTGTTTTATAAATTAAATTTTTTTAGTATTCATCAAAATCTCCATACTACTTGTATATAAAAATATCTATCATTCTCGAGATTCGTAACTGTACTCTCCTTAAAACGTATTTTTTTCTTATATTAAACCCATGACTTCTCTAGAATTCGTCAGCCTGAAAATAAAATCCAGAAATGAAATATGTAAAATATAAAAGCATGATGCACACACAATAAGAACTGTAGAACATTGAGGAAGCATTTTTTTGGCTTTCTCTCAAAAATTAGACCACAATTAGTGGTTGTTATAACCTATCCATCAACCGCGTGTACTCGAATCATTCACACGCTTATTAGGTTTGTGTTTGGCAATAACATTTGAAGGAAAGCTTTTAGAATTTTAATTACAGTTAAAATATTGTTTTTTGTAAAATTACTTTCATCCCATCAACATTTTTATTTACATAGTTTGACAAAATATCTATCCATATTAGAATATTTAGTCATAAATTATTTTACCACTTTTTTTTTTTATACCGCATCAAACTCATATGGGAGATATTAATTAGAAAGTCCCTCATTTTATGAACGATCATAAAGTTTCAATAGGAAAAAATAATTTCATTTTACAGGTCTAAATCTTTGAAACCTTATAAATATTTTAAAACATCCAAAAACAGGAACTCAACAAGCAAAGCAAATGAGTCTAGAGAGAGTATAGTTGTATCGTAAAGATATATAATATAATAGCCTGTTAAGTGGATAAATAGCGTGTATTATATCTAACGTTTAGTGTTTTTATTTTTTAAATTGAAATTTTTTTTTGATGATTCTCTACTATAAATATAGACTTTATAATTGCTTATGTAATAGGGAAATATGATGAGGATAATTAATATAATCATTTTAGAAATGATAATGATCTGCATTAATAAAAATTGGACTGGCACAATTATAAATTGAATATCCTTTTTGAGTAGAAAAATAAGAGCATATTATATAAATTAATCTCTTCTTTTTTTAAAATGAGTTCCACTATTTTAAGTAATAAATTAATTATAACAATCAATAATTTAAATGGCCAATTTATTTTAATCAATTTAAAAATTCAAACAGTTAATTTTCCTAACTGAATATTTTTACTTTTTACTCTAGACAAGTTATAATCAAACATCTAATCAATACAGAAGTAGTTTTAATCAAACACTTTTTAACTTTGAAACACTTATTGGTGTAATTCCTGTGCCTAGACTAGGCGACTTTATCCTTTTTTTTCCGTGATATGATAGAATACCCAATCGTTTCAATAAAAAAAAAAAACCTTATTTTTAATTAATTTGGTCCTGATGGGTACCATGAACCATAATCTAAGTAATTGTTTCACACCACTTATAATAACAGCTACACTAATATAAACAACTAATAATCTAAATTGAACAACGGTTTAAAACTATTAAACAGCATCGTAAAACCATTACAATCATTAAAACAGGTAGAAATTGACGAAGAGTCCCCTTACAATAATCACTCAAGCCTTATATTATTTAACCTACCCTTTGCATAAAGATATAGTAACACATCACAACAAATAATTAACTACTACTATTTTTAATTTGTCCTTTTTAAATGAGAACTCTTGTATTGTTTAATCAAGTATTATTAGTTATTTGACTGAACTTATAATATGGTTTACTCCTAATGATGATTCCCATACATTAATGTAGATAAATACTAATTCCCTCAAAATCCAAATGTAAAATCCTATGGTCACCCTTCTATAAACATATAAAAATGAGGAACATTTCCCAATCCGGTGATCTGCGAACGCTTGAAGTTAAAATAACTGCTCTCTTTTTTCATTGAAATAAGAAAAAACTCTCTTATTGTCTTTTATTGAGAAAAGGGTACATAGAACAAGAACTGTAGAAATTTATTCATAACCGGTACATAATATCTCGAGCAAAATTTCTCGATCTTAAGAAAACAAGCTTTGCATTGCTATTGCAAATGAAGGATTGGTGAGACTGAAACCTCCATCAACCACTAAGTTAATTCCACTAACATACTTGGATTCATCACTTGCAAGGTACAAAGCTGCATTTGCGATATCTTCAGGTTCCAATATTGCTTCTTTCAGTGTAGCCGCTGATGCAATCACTTGCTCAACTTCTTTCTTCTCCTTATTTCCAACAGCATTTCTTAGCATCGGAGTTGCAACGCCAAATGGTGAAATACTATTAACCCTGATGCCATATTGCCCCAATTCTACACTCAAGTTCTTTGCAAGCCCAACCACTGCATGTTTTGATGCGGTGTATGCATGTGGAGAACCTGAAGAAGAAACAGAAGCTAAACTTGAAGTAAATATTTCTTCTCCTTATTTCCAACAGCATTTCTTAGCAGCGGAGTTGCAACTCCAAATGGTGAAATACTATTAACCCTGATGCCATATTGCCCCAATTCTATACTTAAGTTCTTTGCAAGCCCAACCACTGCATGTTTTGATGCGGTGTATGCATGTGGAGAACCTGAAGAAGAAACAGAAGCTAAACTTGAAGTAAATAATATACAACCTTTCTTGTTTGGGATCATAACCTTAGCTGCATACTTGGCACCCAAGAAAGAACCAAACACATTTACATCAAAGACTTTCTTGAAATCTTCATTTTCAGTTGACAAGATTCTTGGGTCTGGATTACCTCCAATTCCAGCATTATTGTACATTATATCGAGCTTTCCATACCTGGAGACCGCTAAATCCACAGCATTTTTTACATCAGAGTCGCTACTTACATCACAGTGAACATAAGAAATGGTTTCTGGAGAGCTGAATTCTTGGCAGAGCGATAGCCCAAGATCATCTTGTACATCTGCAATCAGAACTTTGGCTCCATGTTTTACAAATAGCCTGGCCGTACACTCTCCAATGCCGCTAGCTCCACCGGTTATCAATGCAACCTTCCCATCAAGTCTACAAATTTTCATAAATTATAATATTATTTCGACATAAAACTGTAGTAGAAATTGGATAGACAAATTTGCCACTGATTCATAGTAAGAAAATACAAATAGTAAGAAAATACAAAAAAATTAAAATAAAATAGAAATAGAAATGAGGTTATAGGAGCTAGTCAATTTACCTTTTGGTGGTTGATGTTGCTGCCGAAATATCAGAACTCATGTTTTTGCAGAAATTGATGAAAGCAAAAGAACCTGTAAGAATGAAATCTATGGCTTAACTTTGATTGGCGCTTCCGATATGTAAATTAATTGCATCTTTATAGACAATTAGAATAAGTAGCTAGTTTGACTGAGTCGTGAATGGTGGGCGATCACAATAATATTTTATTTTAACATAAAATAATATAACTGATAAAATTAAAAGTACAGAATTCAAATGATATAATGATACCTTTCACAAAATTTTTTCAAATAACATTGTTTTTACCTTCACAAAAACATTGTTTTTTCTCCTGCTTTTTTTTTTTTTTTTTTTTTTTTTTTTTTCACAAATTTTTGTCAGAAGTAACATTGTCTTTACGCTTCACAGGAAAACATTGGTGTGTTTGCTGCCTGGCTTTTTTTTTGTTTGTTGGTTTTGTTTGTGTGGTTTTTGTCTTTGTTCGCACTTTCCTTGCTTGCCACTTTAGCGGGAGATTATGTATATGTGGTTGGTATGTTGTTTCTTTCATGCCCGACGATGTACATTCAAATGTGCCGTGTTGAATGTCGAGGGTTTATCATATCTGTGATGAATCATTTCAATTGTTTTTAACCTGCCACGGGTGATGTTGGGAATAGCTATATCTCAACAATCAACGTCCTGATACGGTGAGATACTAGAACAATCCAAGTGATTAATACAGAGGGTTCGTTAACATATTTTAGATGTTGACATTTTATGCGTCTGTTTAAGTGGGAAGATCAGTACACGGATGACAGAATATATTATTATCTAATCATATAATTTTTGAAAGTCTCTTTGATAGGTTAGTGTACATTAACGTCTAGATTTTAAATTCTCACAACTCTCCGTACTGTATTCTGTGTCCAGTGTATAGTTAACCGAGACTCTTCTCTAATATAAATTGACATTTCTATAATTTGTGTAATCGTGGATACCTTTTCTAATCCTATGATAGACGTTATTATATTTTTTTTTTTTTTTTTTTTTTTTTTGTCTTTTTCCACTTTCCTTCTTGACACTTTACATTATTATATTGTTTTAGTGTTGTTCTTTCATGCACATGTACATCAATGTGCCGTTTGAATCGATTTATCTATCTGTATGAATCATTTCAATTGTTTTGTTAACCTGCACGGGTGATGTTAATGCTATTAAAACAATCAACTCCTGTAGGAAATTAAAAAAAAAATATAATTAAAAGATTGTTACATGTAAAATACGTGACATTTTAGTCAATAATATACAGGTGAAGATCTTTTATTATTATATAAATTGAAAATTTAGTATTTCTAAGTTATAAATTAAAACCATATGTTTCTTTCAGGAAAGTTAATCCCATATATTTTTATATTGACATTAAAGGAGGTAATCGGATAAAGCTTTTCAATAGTGGTAATTTTAAATTTTAAACTTTGATTTTCCATGTAAAAATTCATTTGAACGGTCTATTTTTCCTCATTTAACCATTCGCCGGTAAACTACATTTTTTTTTTATTGCAAGAAAGAAAAAATTTGCATCGATTATAGGAAAAACAATAAACATAGCTGTCTTTTGTTGACAAAACTCTAAAATCTACCCTGAATCCAATTCCAGAGATATATAAAAAATTTTTTATTTGATAAATTCGAATTGCATGTGACTATAAAATGAGATTCCGGTACATAAACTAATAAATGAATATAGCAAGATATTACAACTAATCTGTATGTTGTTGACCATTTAGTTTAGCAGCCAAATCTTTCAACCCAACAGTCTAGCCGTCTAATTTTGATCATTTTATATCTATTTCTAATTTTAAAAGATCATATCTATCCAGTTAGACGGTATTTTGATTGGTCTTCTCATTTATGAGGAGTGAGAAATCTCGATTTTGAGTTCTCTTTAATCACAGTTGTTTTTACTAATTTGGAGGAACATCCCTTGTTGTGTAGTCTGTAATACTATTTCGACCTATAAAAACTTCCAATGAATTAAAAAAAAAAAAAACCAATATATACTTGTACTATGTGTAGAACATTATTGACATCCACATTTTCTAAATAAATAGAAAGACAATAAGGGGAAACATTATTATTATATATTTGCATTTTATCAAAATTAATTACTTTATTTCTTTATTTTAAAAAAAATTATAAACGTGCACCACTATATTATATCAAAATTAACTATTTTATCCCTGTATTTTTTAAATTACATTACTTTATTTTTTTTTACTATTATACACTGTTGTGTTCTTCCGTCAAACAATTCAACTTTTTCTATTAAATGGCTTGTGAAAGTATACAAATACCTTTAACTCCATTTTAAATTTTATTTTCTGTCATATATGTTGCTTGAACCAATCAAATGAAATCAAGACGAAAACTACAATCCCACTTGCAAAAAATCAAACTTTTAGAATATAATCTCGAGGATTGATTTTTTACTATGTGGATATAGAACTTTGATCTGTGACTTTTGCAACGTATAGATACATCAAAACCTGCATTTTTTTTTTTTTTTTTTTTTTTTTTTTTTTGATATTGGTTTATATATTTAAAATACTTTGAAAGTGAATAATAGAGAGGTGTGCATAATCTATTTAGAATCTGTGAACTTTTAGACATATTGATAACAATAGGAATGCACAACTGATGAAATATTTAATTATACATCACAACCTGGCATTTTTTTTTTTTTTTTTTTTTTTTTTTTTTTTTTTTTGTCAATGGTGGGTTGTTGCCCATGCATTTGAGGAAGAAGGTCTAAACATGTTATTCAAGTTTTTCGATCTTCGTAAATTTATTACCGGGACAATCACAGATGATTATCAACTTGTTATTGGATTTGTTCAGAGGTGGAGAGGTTGGGTTTGAACGTTGAGAAAATGACGATGTTAGGATTTATTAGATAGTTAGATATCTATATATATACTTCGCAATTAGTTATATATAAATACTTTTATTCTTAATAAACAAATTGAGAGAGTTTGTTTTTTGTTTTTTAACCAAACACTATAATCTCATTATGGTATTAGGTAGGGTGGCCACGGTTTTGGAACCGTCATAATCTCATTATGGTATTAGGTAGGGGTGGACACGGTTTCAAAATCGGTTCGGAACCACCGGTTTTGAAACCGACGATTTCGATTCCAAAAAATTTTAGAATCGGAATCGAATCGAAAATTGACAGTTCCGGTTACAGTTTGAAACTGAACGGTTACAGTTCTTGTTCCGGTTCTTTAATAGTAAATTGACAGTTCCGGTTACAGTTTGAAACTGAACGGTTACAGTTCTTGTTCCGGTTCTTTAATAGTTCCAAAATCGACGATTCCAGCCAGTTCTCTAACCAGTTTTTCAGCAAATCACATAATTGTAAAATAAAAAAGTAGATAATATTTTTTCTTCAAATTTAAAATTTAAAAATTTGTGAAATAATTTCTAAAAAAGATACCCTTAAAAAATTAAAAAATGATTGAATTTAATTTATTTAAAAAAAAAAGTCTTCAACTTAATTTTTTTTTTTAAAGTTGGAACTTTTTTCAAAATAAAAAAAAAAGAGGCCTTGAACTTTTTTTTTTTTTTTCAAAAATTAAGTTGCTTACGTATCCTTTTGGGCTTAGAAGAATTAAAGCCCACTTAGTTTTTACCGACCTTATATCAATTTCACCCCTTTTACCTCAGTCGCTATTTCAAAAAATAGAATGAGGTATTTATAATAAATCTAAAAAATTAATTTTTCATAAATACCCTTGAAATTATGGTTATATAACCATTTATAATTGTTAGGAAGAGTAATTCGGAGATTTTAAAAAAAATTTTGAAAAAAAAGCTGATAGAACCGGTTGGATCGGTAGAACCGCCGATTCTAGCCGTTTAACATAGATTCAAAATATGGTTGGAACTGCCAGTTCGAATTGTCGGTTCCAACCATCGGTACTAACCGCAGGAAAAATTGGTGGTTCCGTATAATTTTGGCCGATTCTTAGAACCACCAATTCACGGTTCAAAAAATTATGGAGACAAAACAGAACCGTAGACCACCGGTTCTAGTTGCCACTGGTTTCCGAGTCCGGAAACCGTAATATAGCTGGGTCTAGTACCAGGGCCCACTTCCTCTCTCCTCAAACAAAGAAAAAAAAAACAACGATTACTCATTTTTCGTTTGATATTTTCCTCTGCTTTCCATCGTTTTCTTCCTGTGTTGAATCAATAGTTCGTGGTTTCTTCATCGTTTTTCCAGATTTGTTCAGGTTCTTTTCTCAGTTTCGTTATCCTGTTTACTTTGTTTTCTCTTTTTCTGTTCTTTTCAATCGATTTGTCTTTTCTGTATATCATGTGAGAAAATAAATCAAAATCATCGTTATCCATCTAATTTTGAGGTTAGTTTCTTCATCGTTTTGTTCATTTGACTTGTTGATTTCATTGATACTATTTCAATTTATTGAATGTTGTCTTGGTTTCTGATTGATTTTGCCAGAAATTTCTACTTCGATTCTAGATTTGTTCTGGAATTTGATTGATTTGCCTTTGAGATTGTTCTCTTAAGTTTCTAATATTTGCCTCTATTTTGAGGTTTATTGGTCGATTAATATCGATTTTAGAATTTTAATCCTTCTTACCATTGATTCTAGGGTTTTATACCTCTTACCTTTGATCTATGCTTAGATTCTATTGAATCAAGCATTACCTTGATTGAGTTACTTGATTTGTGGAGTATTTTCACTTTGATTACCATATTTGGATTGATCCTTTGTAGTTGTTTACCTTAGATTGTTGATCATTGTCCATCTTTTAATACCTAGAAATCTTGTTCTTGCTTTTTCTACTCTCTTCTTTCACGCTCAAGCTCAAATCATCTCATTCACTCATCATTTTCTTCCTCTTTTATCAGTAATTCCGTTGTTCGTTTTTTGTTTGGCAACCTGAAAATTCCTCAGTAAGACCTAAAAAGACAGCGTTAATTTTTTATGATTTGGTGTCCCGGATATAAGCTTGGGATGTTATTGAGCTAATGACTTCGATTGAGGCATGTTGAGTGGTTGTACAGTCTATTTTAATTATCAATTTTATAGTGGCCATTGCTCT